TTAGCGGCAAAGGAGATAGCTAAAGCTAGGCTAAATGATAAATTTAGCACTACAACAGACTCGGGCGCACTACAAACGTCACGGTAAACTCAGATCCAATCGTTTCAATCTGTAAAAGGAGTTAACCCCTCCCACCTGTTCACGGAGCTCAATGGAGCAAATCCAGACCTTAGTATGAAATGTCATTTGTACTATGGTGTGGTAAAACCAGGCTAAGTTAGTGCCACTTTATTCCCAAACTCTTTTTAACTCATTGTCTTGCCTGGATTTAAGCACTTTGATGAGAATGACTTTATATCGTGAATATCGGCTACGGAGTATACATTTGTATATGTTATATATTTAATGGCTCAAAAAAGGTTGAAAAACACTGCCTTAGATCAGTGAGTTCAGTGAGAGCGGACCACTCTTTACTCCTCGCACAGGTTGCATTGGGCATTGAAGGTGGAGGTGGAGTTGCAGCTTTCCGGCGCAAAACTGAGTATGTGCTCCCCCCAGTGGTTTTTGCAATTATTGCAAGTTTATTGTGTTCTTTATGTATGTAAAAAGGGACATAGTACAATTAAAACATAGATGGTACCATTTCATACAAAGCCCTTTACACCAGTCCCCCAGCAGGGAAGAAAACACAGTCACATACATCACATACATGTAGAAGAAACAACATGCAGTAGTTTCTGACTCAAACTCATCAATGTGTTACAGGAATTCAGTAACAAAATACTGAATACCGGCTTTTTTTTAAATGGTAATTTTCTCCCTTTATATGCGACCCAGAGTGCTAATTATTTTATTTGTAGAATTAACAATATACAATTTTGATAGTTGTTATTTAGTAAGATTCATGTTTGTATTGATATTTTTATTTAAAAAATCACATCATTGTATTTTGACTTTATCAAGAATTCAAAAGTGCAGTTTTGTGTTATTTTAATACAGTTTTTAATCCATTTAATTTCTGTAAAAGTTCTGAATACTACTAAAAAAAGAATCAAAGAATTTCAAATATAGAGTTACTCAGAATAGTACTTCCCGACACATGTACTTCCCGACACATGTACTTCCTGACACATGTATTTTCCGACACACGTACTTCTCAATAGATGTACTTCTGACACATGTACTCTTAGTCCCCTTCATTTCTTACATTTCTAAGAAATTTCCCCTGAACCTCTGTCAGCAAATTGCACCCTAATTTGTACAATATATGTCTATACATAAAAAACAAGCTATGTTTATTAACATGAAATAAATTATAGAACAATATCAAGCAAATACCACTGAGCTATGATTTGGTCCAAGAATGTGATCAGGCTGATATCGGTCTGGAATTTTTATACATGTCTTTGTGATGATCACATAAACATGATGCAATTAGCAACAACAATTACTTTAAACTCAGAGCAAAAAAGGTAGAGAACCTCTGCTTTATAATTTGAAAGGTGTATTGATTACAGATCCAAGTTTGAATCAACAACAAGAGTGAGGTTACCAGAGAAAGGCTTTGAACAGAAAAAGAGAGACTGAAATGCAAACATGTGTGAAATTGCCTCATTCATCAATGCTCTATACACGTGCAGAAACTGTCATGCCATACTCTGTTGTCTAAACTGAATCAATAAAGTTGTTCCACTGCAAAGATATCCTTCAAATTCTCGCCTACAGCTGTCTTTGCTTCTCTGCTGCTCCACTACTGCTTCTTTGCTTCACCGGTCCATCATAAAAGTCCTGGATGTGGAGAGATGTTTGTCTGGCCTTTCCCCCTCTCTATGTTGAAACAATACACAATACATAGTTCCCACAGACCAATGAATGTCACATGACCTCCTCGGAGACGCCATCTTTGATGGCACGCTGCTGTGTTTGTGCATTCCATTAAACAGAAGAATGAGAATAAATGTAGATATTCAAACGCAAATTGGAAAAAAAGGGCAACTTTTGAGCAAATAATTGTATATTAATACAATGGCACCACAGTTTAACGTGCTACGGACATGTTTTACATATTTGATCAAATTATGCAGCAAAAATTAACAAGCAATGCAAACATTTCTCAAAAACTTTAGATTTAATACCAGTTGGAGCTCCATTTAATTATTTTAATTATATTAACAATTAATTTAATTAATGCTAATGCCACACGGACACTCTGGATTGCTGTTATTGTTTATTTCCGCGTTTTTGACCGTATGTTTTGGTGAATGGTGGGCAACTGATTTTTCCAGGCGTAAAGAGCAGTTTATTTTATGACACAGATCTTTTTACAGAAGCAATGCTGTTTGTGAACATTGTTTTAGCCCACCATAGAACTATTATTATCTATTTAATACATTTACGTTGCCCTCGAGAGCCTCGGACGCGACACCGATCCTCCTCATAATAAAGTAATCTAACGCTAAATAATGAAACTCTCAAGTTACCAGCTATCAGCATACACAAGTTAGTACTGAGTAAATTACGTCTGTCAACACATTATAAGATACGATACGCACCTGACACAAAGTGCTCCGAGCATATTCTTGCGTGTTTTGAGGGAGTTTCTTGCCTGTTTATCTTCGCAAGCCATAACCTCCGTGGTTGTTCTGACAAAAGCTTAGTCTTCTCACATTCATGAAGTCTAATGATGGGTATACTGTAAAATCCAAGTTTAACTGAACCTCCGGCACGATTAGAACATCCATTGACCCAGCAGGAGATGACCATTTTCAACTTTATCACACGTTTCAGCTTCTTTTTCTATTTTTTGGCCCACAGAATGCCAAGACAAATGGCGCCGGGTCGGCAAATCCCCGTATGTAGTGACGTCATGTGGGAACTATGTATAATGTTCACAACTTTGAGGTCTAGTTGAAGCACAGGTTTGGTTTTTCTGCGGTGTAATCTGGATGTGAAGAGAAAACGCAATCTTATATTTCCAATCGTTTAGATCAACTATAGTAACAGCATAACTTTAGTTCACCGGATTTGTGCAGGGGCAGACAACCCTGATTTTAAAACTGCTTCAACTGTATTTTAGTTGTTCTGAGCTTTGAAGTACTAGCGCTAACTATCTCACCACAGCTACACTGGCGCCATATATGGAATCAAAAACAAAATCTATATGAAAGAAGTAACCCGGAGTTTGACAGCGTGGTACAGTGTCTGTGTCTATTGCCTGAGCTGAAGTTGGCTAGATGACACTGTGTATTTAGGATCTCAAAGACGACTTTAAGTTAGCCCAGGACAAGGCCACATAGATGAACACAGAGGGCCCCATGTGGCACACAGGCTTTAGTTTGGAGCGTGATGAGAGAGTGGAGCCTTTTCAAAGTGTCCACTCTGGAAGATTTTTGCCTTTTTAACCCCAAAAACACAGTTGCCATCAAAAATATTTTCCACCTATCTGCGTTGTGTGATCTGTGAAAATACCCTAGAATAGGGTTGTTTTTTCTATCCTCCATCCTCCGCGGGACGTTTAGCATGACTCATTTTTGTGGATCTTGTGAATTCAGGGTTCGCGTTGTTAGGGTGATGCACAAATGAAGCGGTTGTACGAACACCAGTCACGATAAACGAAACTCCAAACACAATTTAATCCTCTCGAAGGGTGTGACTCTCTGGAGGTAGTCAGACCTGCTGAAGACTGTTTGATAGTTCACCATTTACCATAACCGCTCTTCAACAATGTGCCACACCTAAATACAACATGTAATATCCATCTATTATCAGATCAGATTCAGATTCATTTATTTGCTTGCAGTAAAACCACACTGGAATGCATCCGCTAAAGTCCCCAGTATGTGCACAAGACAAGTACACATGCTGCGGCACCATCTTGGTCTCTGTGTATGATCTTATGTATGTCTAAAATAGTTGCATTGATTGATTGAGATGCATTGATTTCTGCTTCCTGTGCTTCCTGATTGGGTGGTTTGGTTCAAAACAAAAACTATAAACTAAGGGGCACAAAGAATATTAATGTTTTTAAAAGCAGGCTCAAGACACACCATTTTAGATTCGCTTTTGATAAGTATTTCTTATTTCTTATTGCATTTTACATATTCTATTTATCTATATAATAATTGTTGGTATTTATTGTAGTGTTTTTAGTCTCACATTTCTAGTTTTTACTTGTGTATTGTTTTAGTTTTTTTTTTGTATAGCCTTTAAAAAGTACAATATTTTATCACGGCTGAAAAAATTGTTGATTTGTCCGCACCTACAGTATCAGAGAATCAAAAATGTCTAAACACATAGGAAATACAAGATTTAAAAAACATATGGTCCATAAGGAGTAGGGGGTCAATGTCCATAAACGTTGATAGATGAGTCCATACATGCTGTTAAATGTCACTTATTTTGTTTTTTGAATAGAAAATGATTATTAGATCTGTGGGAAAGCATTGACAACCAACAATCAATCAATCTTTTTTTTTTTATATATAGCACAGTTCATACAGAAAGCAACACAAAACCAATATTATTTAAAACCAATCTAAAAAACACACTGTAAAAACACACAAAAAAGAAAAAATAATGAGTATATGTATCTATCAATAACATAGACACAGCTGAAATAAAATCGTTTTCAGCCTGGACTTGAATATAGCCAGGGTATAGCTCTCTAGTCTGGACCGCTGCCTCCCAGTGACTAGTCCCGACTGTGGGCACCAGCAGGAGGCCAGTCCCCGCTCATTCCACATGGCACCAGCACAAAAGATTTTAATGTTTACGTAACATCGGCGACAAACACGATTGAAAACAGGAATTACCAGATCATTTCCTTGCTATAGTTAATCTCGTTTACAGGTGTGTCAGGGATTCTGACTCTGTTTGTATTGCTCCTTCTTTAGTCAACATCATTTTCCGTTTGTGACACTCCTTTAACGTTCAAGAAAGTCTATGCGGTCCAACTACTTTCATAGTTTCATAAGAGTCCACTTGGTCTATAATATTGTAGATGTGTGGCTAAAACTAACACATGCAGTGATACAAAAGACGTGATGGTGATTGGATCCTCGTTAGACTCTTGGCATCTTGCTGCTGTAGTAATACACTTTTGTAGAGCTCTGAGCAGGAGCTGAGAGAGAAAATATAAACAAACAGTGTTATTGTATTATTGTGAGCTCAATCTGCTCCAAGAAATCACTGGGTTGAAATCATAGACTAAAAAATGTTGAAATACTCTTCCATCGCCTATAGATCTGCTTTGACTGACTGTATTGTACTTTCTCTTTTAAATCCCTATTCTTTTAAGATATGGACCAATTTAATTTGAGTCTGAAATGAAAATGGATAACGTTGATTGAAATGTATCTTCATGTGCATTATTTACATTCTGGAGGATACACTGTTTAGAATTTAGAATCACCAATTTAGGAAATATTATAGGTTTAAAGGGGCCGTGTGTAACATGCACTCTTACAGTATAGTGGTCTAATATACTGTATCCATCACAATTTCTATCACACTTTTGTTGCCAGAATCTTTTGCCTGACACACATTTAGCTTCCAGGCTCAGGCACATGTAGCAAACTCTATGTATTATGTGTGGCTGCTTAGTTTTGTAAATGGTTTATTTAAACAAATGTGTGGTGCTATTTTTGTGTGAAAATTGTGTTATGTAAAAAAAGCAAAAAAAAACCCAAAAAAACCTGGCATCCCAAAAGAGGAGCTCGTTCTGAATAATCTACTTGAATGCTGCAAAGACAAATAATATCATGGAATCATCTTTGTAATGATTAAATGTAATGATACACTTATATACATGAAAGGTCAAATGGGATTTGGATTGTGTCCTATCATTTTTGGATACATATAACAAATATATTTAATATGGGTTTAAGCTGGTATTACCCTCTCCAGATAATAAAACACCTTCACGGTCAACTCCTGATGCACAGTCTACAGTCTGACCCAGAGTCTGCGGTGGTCTTGCATTTCTCTTGCTCACCTGATTGGCAAAGGAAGTTGTTGTGTTCTGCACAGGACAGCGGGCTCCAGAGACCGTCCGTACGGCCCACACCACCGCACGGGTTTGGGAACAGAGGAGGGAACAGTCTCCATTGGTTAAATGTCAACGCTTCCCCGACATCCAGAACCACCGCATCCCCATCACTTCTCTGACAAAGATAGAGATAAAGGAGATTGTTTGTGTACTGCACTCAGTAGTTTAAACTTCTACTTTTAAATTTGTTTTAATATGCATATTAAAAGTTGCAAGTTTTTCTGGTGAAACCTGGTAACCCCAAGTTGACTTTGTTTGTTGATTATGGAATACAGAATGCCACAAACACAGTCCTAGGCACCTACGTTGGAGGATAGACAGATCTATGTCAATAGAGGCGTCTAGGAGAAAAACATTTAAAATCTAAAAAGGGTTCGATTTAGTGATAATAATGATAAAGTACTCATTCAGACACATCTCTCGTAGCTCTTTGAAGACAGGCCCACATATATGTTTTTTGACAGGATGCCCTATTGAAGGATGGCTCAAAATGCAGAGGTCAAAGTTCCCACAAAGTCACCTACTGAAGTGAATCTCACCTGCGCAGGCCCAGCCACACGTTCTCAGAGAGGGGATAGACACTCTTTGCGATGAGCTGCTCCACCTGGGTCTGTTCGTCATGACTCTGGACACTGAGGAGGTCCCAGTGGTGCCGTCTGCAGTAGAACAATGCGTCCGACCAGCACAAGCGGCCTCCCACCAGATGCACCGCTCGGCCCCCGATCTGCGCACTTTCACTGGAGAAATTATAACTGGGGACCGGAGGGGGAAGTGGAGCTGGCTCTGTTTCTACAATAAGAAAATACTTGAGTCTGTTAAATGCATTTGTCTTTGTATGTGTCCTTTAAGCAATGTTGAAGAACACATACAAAGCAAAATCTACTTTTTGTTACTTTAAGGTTTCCTCGTCAAAAACATACCTACTTTTATACAACAGCCTATAACTGCCTTTTTGAACAAATGTACTGTCTCTAATTTAGTTTTGAGCATTTCTGGGTCAAATTCATGTGTATATTTATTACATCTTCTTTCATTACGGGTTGTAATTCCCACTGCCACAATGTTGATCCCATTCTGACAGTCAGTACTAGAAAAAGATCAGCAAAATCCTCTTTTGTGTACCCTGTATTTTTGAAAGCATGACTATTTTGAAAGAGTTTTTAAAAAAGTTGTTGTTTAGAAGTTTTTGCCTTCCATCAAAAGTCATGGCCACTTCTTGCGTCGTCGGAGCAGAGTATGCATACTTTCCGTGTTTGGTCTTTCGGTTCATTTTGCCATACTTTTCATTTCATCCCAATACATAGCTGTGACTCAAAGTGGTTGATCAGTGTTAGAAAGACGTACCCACTCGAGAACCATAGACCTCCACTCTACAAAAAGTTAGTGTCGTTATTTCTTTTATGTTCACAGACACATATTGTCCTTCCATCTCTGAACAGTAGAAGGTCTGTTTCAGGTCTGCATTGGTGATCGTGGAACAGCTGAAAGAAACAGACACACAAAGAGTTACTGTAGATAATAAACTAGAACAGGACATTTAGAGAGAATCGTAGACATACACTGGGTTTTGTCCAATAGTACGACTGTTTCCGATTCTGATTTGTGCGCCGATGATGTAGCTAGAGCAGCAGTCGTGGCGATTGTGGAGGACGACGGCGCTGACCCTGTAGGGCGCACCGAGGTCCACTCTCCACCAGGGGTTTCTCCATGTGTGAGTCTGACTGCAGCAGAGCTTGTCGAATCTATGAGTCCTGCACGTTTGCACGACTTTATGTGCGCCTGCATCGAGAAAACTAAATACATCCCATACTTTTTTGGTGCTCGACTGCAATGCTGGTTTGTAATGGGCGATGTTTGACAAGGCTTCCACTGTGACAAAAATGACATAATTATTAACTATTGGCTATGAGTTGTATTTATTTGTTTACCTCAGAGCAACCGGTGTCAAACTCATTTTGGTCGTGGGCCAAGTTTAAAAACATAAGAACTGGTTTGTGGCCAAAAGTATAAAACTGGTTTAATGTTATTATCATTATTATTTTTTTATTTTTTTTCCATATTTTTTTATTTTGGTGATATTCTTTTATTTGTCATGAAATTGGACATTCTTTTCTAATAGGTTTGGATTGAATCACAACATTTTAACATTTCAGAACATGTTCAATTATGTAGTTGTTTTAATGAGAAATCAGCCTTTAAAATGATTCCATAGTAGCCCATTACCATCAATGCTGCAAGTTACTGTATAAATGATCATAGAAAATGATTATAGGGGCCGCAAAAAATGCTCTCGCGGGCCGGATTTGGCCCACGGGCCTGAGTTTGACATGTCTGCCCAGGAGTAAGGTATTAACTACAAAAATAGACTTTGTTTTATATTCTAGTAAATGTATTTTCTTCCCACAGTCACCTGCTGGGTCTGCGTACACCTCCACCTCGCACAGCGTCAGAATCCTCATTTCTCCAGAGAGGAGCAGGTTCACGTAGCGGCCGGTCGTTCCAGTGGATTTACAGGTGAAGGTGAAGGTGTTTCCCAGAGGTATGTGAGTGACATTAGTGCACCTGGAAACATGTACTAGTTTTTACATTAGAACGACATGGTTTATAGAATCATATACAGGAAGCAGGAGGCCATGAGCTGCTTTGAATTTGTAATTTTTATCATTTCATGTGGGGTGACAGTGGCTCAGTTGGTAGAGCATTGGCCTTTGAGCCTGAAGGTCGTGGGTTCGAGCCCACCAAGAGACCTACTTCATAACTCCCACTGATGGCAACTGTTGTTGTGTCCTTGGGCAAGGCACTTAACCCCACTTTGCCGGAAGCCCCCACTGAGAGATCAAGGCTACTGTGGACTCACCACCTGTAGAAGGATCAGTGATGGGCTGGTGCTATGTGTACTGGGTGGCATGTCTGACAGCCACCCCCCAACCCACAAATGGATTATGGGGTAGAGAATGGATGGATGGATCATTTAATCTCAAATGTAGAGAATAACTAACGGCCTACAACCAGCTAATCTCAATGTAATATCCTCTGTACACTGCAACAGATGCACTGAGGAAATCAAAGATCACAATTCGATTATCATGTACAGTAACTTAAACTTGTTAAGTAGCCGGCCCTGCTTAGCTGAGATCTGAGTGTACCAGGCATGCTCATGCATGAGGCATGTGTGGCCACAAACAATAAAACAAGATATTCTTAAGTATTACAGATAGATGGTGATTCCCCTCCCAACTGCTGCTGACTTTAACATAATGCCTCTACACTATTTTGATTTGAAAACATGATAAACCAAAGTAAAGGTTCAAGCTCAGGATTAGGGGACAAAAAAAAAATCACATTTGTTTAGAGCATTACCAGGGATTATCATTGCCATTGTTCTTTAGGGAGTTTCCGATGCGTATCTGTGCCCCGTCCAGCCTGTCGGCACAGCAGTCTCCTCTGTTGGTGACTTTCACATTGGACACGATGAAAGGCTGTCCGAGGTCCACTCTCCACCAGGGGTCGCTCTGTGGAGCTGTGTGGCTGCAGCTGCCCTCTGTGTAAAACGTGTCTCTTCTTCCGTCTATGGCTCTGTGGGCCTCGGCGGGATACAGCGTGGACGACTGCACCGCGCGTCCTTTCACCGCCACGTTGGGCTGAGGGTAGGCTACAGACATGTGTTAGATTACAGTCTCCTCTGACATGTACCATATCTACAGTATCACACATCATATATTTACTATAACATTCTGTATTTGGTCAAGCCGCATAGATGTGCTCTTCCCCTTTACCAAATTTCAAAATATGTTTTTATTTTTATTTTTAAGAAACATAAGGCCCCTCTTATTTTTTTTATTTGGCCCCTCATCACAATGAGTTTTACACCCCGAGCTCTATAGGATACATGTCATTAATAATTACCAAAATCTGTGGAATAAACTTGGACTTCACAGAGCCTCGAGTTTTAGGTTGGCTCCTGGCAGAAGCAGACGCACAAACTGCCCTTCTGCACCGTTACAGGACAAGTATCCGGATAACGGCTCACCAAACACACCGGGATCACTCCACACCTGCGTAGTACATGTCATTAATAATTACGTGCCGTTTCAGACAGCCTCCAAACTCTATTTGCAAGGACAAATCCATATTTAGATGTTATGTTATACAATGTTGATGCAATGTATTAGATTGTTTTTTTTTTTTATATAAATCATCGTGTCAGCATTGAAGTCGTCCTGCTGACGCCTCGTCTACTCTCTTTGGTCAAACATCAAGAATTTCTACATAGCTCAATCTATGAAAAATCCCTCAGCAAACATCTACACTTTCATTTCAAACACATTGTTCATATGTTTGGCAACACTGAAGAAAGTTAGATGAAGTAACTCAGGACCAAACTTTAAAAAACAGATCATAAAAAGAATGAATGATCACTTCTTTACTTCTTAGACACAACATGACACTTTTTCAGCATTTGAACATTCCCAGTTCTTGAGTTATAAAGTGGTTAGCAAAAATTAATAATTGGACCTTTTGGTACTTACAGAGGGTTTTAAAAAATCCCTTAATACATTCAACAAGTTAACTGAGACAGACACTATGGACTGTTCTAAAATCTACACATGAAATTGGCACAAGATGAGGCCATCAACATCCAGCAGTATGACCAATACACATACGGAAGTTTTCTGAAAGCTCACCACCACTAAACAGAAATATTGTTGCCTAGTTTGGTTTCTGTATTTAGCACAGCTGCAAGCATCTGGTGGTTTCAGCTGAAAACACAGTGCAAGCGATTGTTTGAATCTATGGGAGTGTGTGTAATGGACTTACAGCCGTGCTAAAGACCTTAATCTCAAGTTAAGTACAGAATTTCAAAATAAAGTGGAAGAATGCTTTGAAAATCTGGACAATCCATTTGCCAACCTTTAAAACACTCAAGTAAAACTGTCTGAACACAGGAGAGTCTACTCAGTGATAGGTTAAGGTGACCTGAATATTACAAGCCCCTTTGACAATAGGTTTTCTACTGCAATGGGATGAAAAAACCTTATGTTGTTCAAAGTTACGGCATTGTTTAAACTTGATGAATTTTCTGCACATTGCAAAGCTGTTTAATGGTGCGTCTTCAATAAATGTTGTGAGTTTTGTGAACGTATTGTTTGGCAGGAATCTCTCATGGGTCAAGTTGGCAAAGGCGCCAGAATTCCCTCGGAATTTTCAAATGAGCGAGGAGAATCAGTATTGAAATGTAGGTTCCCCTGACGTGAAGATGATATTGATTATAACTGAAGACAACGGAATTGGTCTGGGCAAGCTAGAATAACCCTTCGATTAATTCTCACCACATGTCAGGTTATCCACCATGATCTTGCCTTGTCACTTGATGCTCGTCACGAAATTTTGTTAGGAGCAGGAGCAGGAGTGGAGGCTGGGGTTAATGCGCAACTGGCACAAAGGATTTCTGAATCAGCAAAAACATGAATTAGACGAAGGCATCAAAAACTTAACAAAAAATAAAGCAAAAAGGTCTTGCGGAGTTGTCCTCACATGTAGACTGAGGACCCTGACAGAGGACTGAAGAAATGCCCAGCTTAAAAGGACCTATATCACGCTTTTCTCTATGTTTCCCAATCAATCCTAAACCTACACACATTGGGGGGGGGATATTAATGTGTATGATACACCACACACAATCAAAGCTTGTGAGATTTAGAGCCATCTCTTGTAATAGAGTGACCGTCACCTCGACTCAAACGAGCTGATCCCGAAAGAGTCTGCTCCTCTGCCAGTGATCCCGCCGCCCCCCCCCCCCACGCTGACGTAGCATCTCGCTTTTGTCGTTTATTCACCTGTAAATAGTAATTTCAAACAAAAAATACACTTTTTCCAACAATGACAATCCGTCTCATCGAGCCCTATTCCTCGATGCACAATCCACCCTAGTTATTTAGTTTACAGAAGTATACAGCGAGTTAGCGTCAATACTTACAGACGAGGGGGTCCGAGTTAACGTCCTTTAGACCATGAATGAACAGATGAAAAAAGTCCAGCCGCTTTCTTCCTCTTAGGGCCAAATAGTGTTCACATATTTACACAACCCATACAAAACCCACTTCATTCAAGTTGACGTGATCCTAACACTTTTAGTTCTGACAAAAGCATAAAAAACAGCAGCTCTATGTGGTGTCCGCGAGGACCAGACCACAACGCTGGACTCGGGAGCCGAGCCTGTGCGCTCAGATTCGCTGTTTTGAATCCGTCCAATCACCACCCTCGGCTTTTAATTTATTTTTATTTTTATTATTTTTTGACAAAAAACAGCATACTAAATTTGTTATTGTTTTACCCACCCCCGTTTTGACAAAAGTATTTAACAACTATTTTCAATACAAAGCAAACGGGTCATGCGCAGTCTCAGTGTGGTTTTCGTCACTGAAGTGGACCCGAGCGTTCTGTGCCTCACGCTGAGAGGAGACAGATTGCTCTCTTACAAAAGATTGACAGAATCAATGAATAAACCTACAGCGGCTTGTGTATGAAGCCAAATAGCAATTGTAATCATGTTTAAAGCAGAGAAAAGTCAAAAACCGTGATATAGGCACTTTAAACACAGAGAAGATTAGTGATGACAGGCAGATGGTGCAGGACAGGAAACAGGAGCAGTAACCAGCCACGCCCACAGCCACGCCCACAGCACAGGAACAGGAGAGGAGGGGGTGAGCAGCTCACAGTGAGCGCAATACCAAAACAAATATCAGATGTTTCAGTTTTGTAACAAACATGTAACATGTGCCCCGTTAAATATATCTTGGATACGTGCATCACGTGCATGAGGTTTGGGCCAACAAGTGTCGTATTGTGTCTGTGTCACAGGTGGGTTTTCTGTGGTTCCCTCGATGCAGGAGTGTCTAAGGACAGTGATGACAGTGTCCGTCCCTGCTCCTTTGGTTTGGCTCTTATGTTTTTGGTATTATTCATTGTCCAGTGTTTCGACCGTTATGATTCTACACTGTATGATTCACACACATCATTTCCACCCAAAAGAAATCTGTTTCTTTAGCAATAATTAATTGTGTGGACTTGACACATGTGAAGGATTTGGATTAAAGCATGATGTATTTTGTTTGGTGTAACATCATAACTTTGGAACTATAACAACCTTTGGTGAACATGACAATGTGTTTTATTTATAAGAAAAAGTATATGACTATTGAGGTTAAATCCTCCTCGCACAACTGCGCTGAGCCTGGTTGTACCACACCTTAGTACAAATTACATTTCGTACTAAGGTCTGGATTTGCTCCATGAGCTCCGTGAACAGGTGGGAGGGTTAACTCCTTGCAGATTGAAACGTTGGATCTGAGTTTACCGTGACGTAGTAGTGCCACGAGTCTGTATTTTTAGCATTTAGCCTACCATCATCTCCTTTGCTGCTAACGGAGCCCGTGGGGAGTACCGCCACAAACTTGACCTGCGATTACACTTCAATAAATCCATGCATGGATTTGTAAACTGGTTTTATAGACAGAGTTGGGGAGTGATGGAAACAAGGACCGATAATATATTTACACATACAGAAGTTTTAGAATGATTGCATTTTAGCACAATTTATATAAAAAAATAACTTCCATTTGAGATTATTCAAGACTTCTCCATTGTTGACAATAGGTGTAAAACTAATTATTATGTGACCTTGAAAATGTCACGAGTTTGAAGATCTTTCTGACTAGTTAATCAAGTGAATTTATGTATTTAATTATTTATATTTATTGGTACAAACATCAACAGTTTGTAAACAGCTAATTCTATTATGATAAATATGTAATCATCAATTATCAGTACAGATCACTGCCCCCCTATCCCACTACTCATTTAAATGGTGTATCTTCTTTTATCTTTTTCAAGTAGAGAAGTAGAAGTCTTTAAATCCGTCCATGTTTTTCAATAATATTTTGAAGGCGTTCGGATAATAAACGTGGCTCCAGTTGGTAACGCCATTCAGTCGACTTCATTGGCCTCCGCTGCCAGAGCCATCGACACAAATATGGGCTCCTGCTCTGCCACCACAGCACAGAGCGACCCGTGGTGGAAAGTGGATCTGGGACGAAACTACAAAATAAATGCAGTCATTATAACCGGCAAAGACCAGCATCCTTTGAATGGAGTCGAGATCTGGGTGGACGCTTCCAAAACTCCCAATGTCACCAGCTTCAGGTACGGCGACTTTGCTCAGGCACAAATGGTACTGACCCGAACGTTACTAGATAAAGATATTTTAGATTTTTTTTAGAAGAGATACCATATTTACAGACTTTCTCTTGGACAAAATGTATCAAAGTTCTGGTTTGGGGAGTAGAGTAGAACTTGGATTTCTCGGTTTTTAAAACGTTTAAAATTAAAATCATGCACCAGTGTACAAAAAAGGAATCATTTTTTCAAAGCAAAAAAATCCCCAAAAAATTGAAATGCAGATTGAGTTTGTTCATTGTGTGAAAAAGTAGTGAGTTGTCTTGCCAGCGAGCCCTAATTGGACCAAAACACAATGTTTGGACCACATGTAATAAACTTTAGTGAATGAAAATATTATGTTTGGTCCCCAGTTTAGGTCGACCAACCTGTTTTTAATAGTTTCAATCTTTATGAACGCTTTCCTTTTGTGGAGTTTGATTTGATTGGACCTCCTCATACACAAAAACAGATTCAATCTGAAGAGACCAAGACAGAAATGAAAAAAGCATGAAAAAGATTTATTTGATTAACGCATTGACCCCGGCAGTGACACTTGAGGGGAGATAGTCTGCGGCTAAAGATGATCTCAAATCGCCCGAGGTCAAGCACTGGTGGTGGCTAGAAGCATGGTGTGAATGGGGCGCAGGCGGAGCAGGAGTCAGAGCTAGAGCCAGAGCAGGAGCCGGGACAGGAACCAGGGCAGGAACCAGGACATGAGCCAGAGCGGAAACCCGAGAAGGAAGCAGGAGCTGAGGAGGCGCTGGGGAGGTGGTGGGTGTTAAGAGCTTCAGGAAGCGCTGTTTATCGGGGAGTGGCTGCTTTTAAACTGCCCGCTTTGCTGTCAGTGGGTTTTCAAGGGGCTGGCCTGGCTGCGTGATTGGCGGGGCTCTCGAGGCTGGAAGAGCTATGTGATTGGCAGGCCCTGGACGGGTGAGAGCCGTGGCCGGTCTTTCAGTCTGAATTCGTGCCTCAGCTTCATTTCAGTTAATTCAAAGCTCAAGGCTGAAGGAAAAATTATGAAATATGAAAACAAGACAGACAAAAACAAAAAAACGATTTCATTGTTTATCCCCTCTGTCAGAAATACCTCAATCGGTACATGAGGGCTAGGGCCAGGTATGCTTTTGCTACTTTCTAAACTATACACCAACATATTTACCTCTCTAGCTGTTGTGAATATAGACTTGAGTGTGTTTTTGATAAGATAAAATAAGAGATCCTTTATTCGTCCCGCAGAGGTGAAATGTCAATGTTGCAGTGCACATACAGTACAGAACAGTAAGAGCACACATGCAGGGAGCACACAATATTAGGGGTGTGACAATATATCAATTTTTCGATATATCGCAATACTTTCTCCCGCGATTCGATTATTGATACAGTAGGTCCCATTCCGTTTTGTCGTCTTCATTCACGCTTCTCGGGAATCACGCAGCTGCGTGAAAAATAGTACATCTTATCGCCACAAGGTGGCAGGCTAAGTCCGCTTTAGCTCTGCCAGCGACTTAGACGCTCAGGTATCATACTGCGTGCAAACCTGTCTAGCCCAGAGATGCTATGTTGGCCAAATGGTTAACATTGAAGACTAGGACCTGGAGAACCCAGGTTCGATTCTTGTCTGAGGCAATTTTGGTTGCACATCTTTTGGTTGCTTGTGGCAAAATTGTTTTTTCATTAAACAATTATTATATAACATCTTGTCTTTAATGTCTGAAAAAATCTAGGTGAAATTCACTAGTGTTATACGTTAAATATTGTGATATGTTTTGATAAACCGAACGTTACGTTACATCCTCCGCTCTGGCCCCGGGAGCAGCTGCTGTGACCCCCGCTCTGACATGCAGCTCAGTGAACGCACTGCAGTCTGGGCTCCGAGCGCGGACCATAGACACGCAAACAGAACCACAGACAGGACCATAGACACCCGAACAGAACCACAGACAGACATTTACATATACGCAGACAGAACCCAGACAGGCGGAGACACGCGAGACACGCGGATCATAGACACCTGGACAGAACCAGAGACACACGAAGCATAGACACTCGAGTCGGACAGGTCCATTTGTTTTATTTGTGTTTAAAGTTACCTAAGTTTCTCCTTGCATTAAAAATGCTTGGTGGTTGTGGATATTTAGACTGCGTGATTTGATAGAATAATACTGGCAATGTCTAATACATATCTAATTTTCAGTAAATTATAAAGAGAAAGAAAAAGAAGAGGAGGTCAAAATTCAATCCATTGAATATTGAAAGAATCAATACATTCTTGATTTTCGACTAATTCATGAGTGTTGTGTGTTTAATTGGTGCCGAAGTAACATCTTTTTAATCTTCTACAACATAGTGACTAAAACAAGTGTGCCATAACAGAGTAATTCAAATTTTACATGTTATATGTGACTGTGATGATTATGTTTAGAATGTCGATCTTTAAACCTGTTTTTCTCAGAATTCTGTTTCATAAAACCATGTAAATACGCTGACTTCAGATTATGAGAACTTTTGTTACAGACCTGCTATGGAGAAAAGGAAAACAGATTTGAAAAGATATTGAAAGCAGCTTTAAGATGTGCGAGGCGAGCCTGGCCTGGGACCTACGGGCCACCTCAAGAAGTTCACGCTGAACTTTCTTAAAAATAAAATGAAAAAGGATACTCTGTTATGAATGTTTTGAGAGCATTGTCAGTCCTTAAGAGGAGGAATAGCTGTTGTTCTCGGGGAACGAGCTTCGCGCTGTGTGATATGATCATGCAGCTTATTGGACAAAATTGTTTAGCCAATAAACGGAACTATATTTGAAGCAACGTAGGAACGTGATGACGCTCAGGGGGTTATATTTTCTAAAAAAAGATTAGAACGCAACATTTAGTTAATAATGTGTGTATAAAAATAAAAAATATTGAAATTATGACTTTAAACAAAAAAGTCTAATGACTTGAGAGGCGAAGAACAAAATTGGGAAGGCCAAGAAAAAAACTGGTACTGTATAGGCACCGGCCTACCCAGCCCTATCCCTGGCCGCGGCTGGGCCGTGCATGTGAATGTAAATGTGTTTCTATTGAATGCTATTTCTTTCTTTATAATCTTTATAATACGAATTGCATTAACGTATATATTTAAAATAATTATGTATTGTCTATAGAATTCTATGCGAATTCGAAAATAAAGACATTCTGAAAGCGATGTCTGCCTCTCGTGATTTTTTAGTGAGGTCTTCTTCTGGTATTTACTGTTTGGCTGAGCAAAGTTTTAATAGTATTGGTTAAAATAAATCCCATTTTCAAACACGGCGTGATGTAAATAAGAGAGAGAGCGAGAGAGAGACGCTGACGCATTTTGGCTCAGTGCGCTGGTGTGCAATCAATGGAATACATCACAATACTCATCAAACAAGATCCATTCAGTTTTATCATTGGAGGAAATGTTTATTAAATTAGCAATTGGCACCTTGACAAAACACTGGATATAGAAATCCTAACAATAGTAGGCTAATATAGGCTAACGTGGACATCCCTTGGCCCGTGGGGATATCACATGCCAGTTGCCTCTCCCTTCAAGGCTATGACCTGGTCGATGACTTTGTCCAGGTGGTCTATATATTTATTGCAGACCTGGGTTGTGAGTTTGTTTAGCCAAAAAAACTCTATTGCGGAGATCAGTGCGTCCTTGCTCATCGGCTTGGCCTCACAGCGAATGTATCTTTTCATGGACGCCCACACTAACTCAATGGGGTTCAGATCCGGCGACCTTAAACAAAAACACATGGACATGTCAGCACTGTTAGCCTATTTTCCGATACAGCATGTATTCATCCAAATATATATATATATATATATATATATATATATATATATATATATATATATATATATATATATATATATAAAAATAACTACGGTAACTCACTCTGCCGGTGTCGGTACCCAGTTGATCCCCTCCCTTTGAATGCAGGCTTTGACACTTTTTTGCTGTGTGTTTTGGATCGTTGTCTTAAAAAATCAAACAGGACAAATTAGGAGGATAACTTAATCATTAAACAAACATTAGTAGCCTAATCATCACGACGTTGCTTTTGTCATAATCATGCTGAAGATTTGGAATACAGATTGTTAGCCTACCTTGGAAGAATCTATGTGTAGACATACGGAAATGCTCCCTTAAGTATGGACCAGCAGCTTTTTTGATGATTTCTTCCGCGTAGAAGTGTTGATCCATTATACCTGCGGGTTTAAATAATATGTTAGCATATTGTAACAATTTATTTAGCATAGCCTACTTTGCATGCATTGCTTTCAAAACTTCATCACTCACCGTCAAAAATGACCAACGGACCAGGTCCATTGAATATTGAAAGAATCAATACATTCTTGATTTTCGACTAATTCATGAGTGTTGTGTGTTTAATTGGTGCCAAAGTAACATCTTTTTAATCTTCTACAACATAGTGACTAAAACAAGTGTGCCATAACAGAGTAATTCAAATTTTACATGTTATATGACTGTGATGATTATGTTTGGAATGTCGATCTTTAAACCTGTTTTTCTCAGAATTCTGTTTCATAACACCATGTAAATACGCTGACTTCAGATTATGAGAACTTTTGTTACAGACATGCTATGGAGAAAAGGAAAACAGATTTGAAAAGATAGTGAAAGCAGCTTTAAGATGTGCGAGGCGAGCCTGGCCTGACTGCGCTCTCCTCCTCCTAAAAAAAGATTAGAACGCAACATTTAGTTAATAATGTGTGTATAAAAATAAAAAATATTGAAATTATGACTTTAAACAAAAAGTAGTCTTCTGTTCTCTAGATGTTACAGACAAGGCCCGCATCCTCCACCACCTGAAGAAGATGACAAAGTCTGGGATCGCGTCTTTAATTCAGACAGAAGACATGTTTTATTGTCGATGGTAGAGACAGCACGAACAACAGATACAACAGAATGCAAGTGTATTATACAGAGCGGAGGAATGGAGACCTCCAATCAGCAGCTTCCACGGTGCCATGTAGCTTGGCCTTCAGATAGACAAAACAAGGGAAAAGTACAGGCTTCTGCACATTGATAGAATGATGAGTTTAACTTTAACAAAAGTTGTTTAAAAGTGTTCTTCTCACATTGTGACCAGAGGGGGGAATCTCACATTCCCCCCTCTGGTCACACATTCACGTGTGACCATCAGGATCGATAAACAGCAACATAACATCATAACTCAATACTTTAAAAACTCAAACTCGGTACTTCACTCGGTACTTCAAAAAACTCAGAACTCGGAATACTTCAAAAACTCAGAAAACTCATAAAACATGTTCAGATCTTTCATAAAACTTGTCAACAATCTTCAGTAAAATACCAAACTTCATCAGTCGATGTGGTTCCAGATATTGCTTTGAAAACAGTCTCTCCCACTTCTCTGTGTTGATTCTTTCAGGCTGCATTTGTGTTGAGCCATGAATTCTTCTGTGACGTGTCTTTCAATCACACGTTTCAGCTTCAGTGTCCAGATTCAGCAATTCAATTCAGTCCAAATTATGTCCAAATTGTGTAATCCAATTGTTCCAAATGATGTCCATGCAAAAGAGGACGATGGTATTGTCCATGTCTCAGCAGCTCACAGCCTGACTGGAATCAGGGGCTGTGCAGATTGTCCAAGTGTGCTGGTCCAGACGCATGGTTTCTCTTGAGGTTTCTCAGTTTTGGCTTTAAAAAAAAAACAACACATTTTTGTGTAAAAAAAAAAGTCTTCTGTTCTCTACATGTTACAGACAATGCCCGCATCCTCCACCACCTGATGAAGATGACAAAGTCTGGGATTGTGTCTTTAATTCTGACAGAAGACATGTTTTATTGTCGATGGTAGAGACAACAGATACAACAGAATGCAAGTGTATTATAAAGAGCAGAGGCATGGAGACCTCCAATCAGCAGCTTCCACGGTGCCATGTAGCTTGGCCTTCAGATAGACAAAACAAGGGAATAGTACAGGCTTCTGCACATTGATAGAATGATGAGTTTAACTTTAACAAAAGTTGCTTAAAAGTGTTATGAAATCTCACAATCATTATGGTAGAACTGTGACAAATGTAAACAATAAAAAAACACACCTTGTCGTGTTAGGAAAAATGTTCAGGATGTAAAAAGATAAAGTATTGTATGAAATCAGATTGACAGATTTTGGTTTTGAACGAGTTCAACAGTTTTGTATGTGATGACCAAAGCCATGAAATGAGCTTTAGTTTTACAGGGAGAAACTATTCAGTCGTGAAAAGTTTTATTTTGACTAACAGGACAGAAGCAAATGACAATATTTATTTTTACCAACCGTAATCGACAGGGCCAAGCTAAAGTAGCCCTGTATATTCTCTGGGTCAGTCTTAGAAACATTAAGTTTCCCCTCTGGTTCACAGTGTGTGCGGCAAGGTGGCTGAGTGGATAGCACTCTCGCTTCTTGACACGAAGGTCCTGGGTTCGAATCCTGGTCGGGACAGGGCCTTTCTGTGTGGAATTGGCATGTTCTCTGTGTCTGCATAGGTTTCCTCTGGGTGCTCCGGTTTCCCCTACCCAAGTGACCTTGGTCCATGAAATGCGCTATATAAATAAACATCATGATCTTTTAATGTGGGGGCTAATTTAAACTCAAAATAGTAAGTTATTGTAGGGGACAGTAATCTGAACTTAAAAAAGTAAGTTTTTACAGACTTGAAATTTCCAGTAACTTGAATTTAAACACTTAGTTGGCAGAACTTGGAAAACTTAACTGACACAACTTAATAAGTGTAGTTCTTCAAAACTTGAAGAATTAAGTTAATGCCTTCAACTCAAAAATCCTTCGCAGCTGGTTGCTTTGAAATTTTGAGTTGAACTAACTTTTTCTTTTTTACAGTGTGCATGGACCAGAAGTCCAATTAAAATAATGGACAATTGCTCCTGCAGCCCTGAACAGGACATGCGAGATGCGCGGGTCGGCCCGAAACCCGCAGTCAACCCGCGGGTCCCGCGGTTTCGGGCGGGTTGGATGCCTCAAAAATATGAGTCATGTCAGGTGCGGGTGGGTCGGGTCAGAAAGCTCCTGATCCCTATATAATATTATATATGTGAGCCACGGTATGGGAGTCCCTTGAGTACATTTGCAATCGCGCAGGGAGGCTGTTAAACAAAAAAATCATGCTGACAAACAGGATCGCTCCTTCCTGACTCCCCGCTTAAAGCCTCAGAACACTCCAGCCCGAGGACAGACGTGTGATCTACACAGAGGCACCGAGACTGATGACTGTGGGCCTCACAGCAGAGGCCTAAAGCAGGGGCCTCATTACTTTAATACTTACAGTCTGTGGTAAATACACGGGCTACATGTGGTACACGTGCTTAGACTATATTAATATTGTATGTGTAACATTCAAAATAGATTGCAGAGGAGAGAGCAGCGAGAGAAGTTTGGCAGGGAGTTAAAATAAATGAATTACAGCTTGCTAAATTATTTGAAAGCATCTTCTCGTTATATTTATGTATTTATTATAAATGTAAGAGATGCCAGAGATAAGGCGTCTGCTTTTTTTCTGAGTGGGAGGAGACACCAGCGGAGCTGTTTGAGTCAGATAACGTTCAGCGTTATATTACCAATAGTTTTTCTTTCCATAACGATATTCTCTCTTTTTGAAAAGATCACCAACGTGATGCAAAAGTTTACGTTATATGCAGTAGTTTTAATGTCTGCGGGTTATTCCAGAGACTGGCCTGCTACAAGGAGTTGCCCGTTTTAACCAGATTGTCGATGTGCGCGGGCAGAAACTCATAGGCGACGGATATAAGTCCGATGTACAGTACGCTAGGCTTAAAGCCTCTCTCCTAGTGAAGAGAGAAGAAAGAGCGATGAGACGCCAATGTAACCCTGCTCACAAGTGCCACCTGGTGGTTGTTTTGGTCATTGCAACGTCACTGGGAGGGGGGAAAATAAAAGACGCGTGAATCACACGTGAGTCTCGTGTGATTCACGCGTGAAAGGCGACAAAACGGAATGGGACCTGCTGTATGCATTTGCCAAGTATCGATTTTGAAACAAAATTTAAAAAAAAAATTGGTATCAATACTTAATATATGGCTACATTACGCATCTCCATTCCATTTATCATGAAACAAAGTGTATTTTTTATTTTATTTATGCCATAAATTGGTATATTGTATATTTCTGTCCAATATATCAATATTTGTCATATCGTGATAAAATCGTTATCGTGATATCGTTATCGTGATATCGTTATCGTGATAATATCGTTATTGTGAGCTTTGTATCGTGTATCGTATCGTATCGTGAGGTACCCTTAGGTTCCCACCCTTACACAATATACTGTAAGTGGCTGCTATGTTTCTTAGCTGGCTGTAAATGCTTCTATATCAATATATCGATATAACTCTATCTATATAGTGCAAAGTCAGCACAGAGTAATAGATAAAGTGACATTTAGTGGACACTCTGAAGTAGCAGTATTTAGTATTCACAGATGAATGACATGTACAGGCTCAGCAGTTCACATTGTACAGTCTGACAGCAGCAGGAAGAAAATACCTGTGAAACCTCTCCTTCACTTTGCGAGGGTGAATAAGTCTGTCACTGAATCTGCCCCTCCAGAGCGGACAAAGTGTAGTATAGTTGGGTTCATATGTTATGGGCTCATCTTCATATCATTAATTATGTTACTGTTTGAAAATATGAATTGAAAATGTGATTCCAAATGGATGAGATTTGCTCAGTTGCAGCACACGTGTTATGTTTTACCGCAGGTGTGGAGTGATCCCTGTGTTTGGTGAGCCGTTATCCGGATACTTGTCCTGTAACGGTGCAGAAGGGCAGTTTGTGCGTCTGCTTCTGCCAGGAGCCAACCTAAAACTCGAGCTCTGTGAAGTCCAAGTTTACTCCACAGATTTTGGTAATTATTAATGACATGTATCCTATAGAGCAGGGGTGTAAAACTCATTGTGATGAGGGGCCAAATAAAAAAAATAAGAGGGGCCTTATGTTTCTTAAAAATAAAAATAAAAACATATTTTGAAATTTGGTAAAGGGGAAGAGCACATCTATGCGGCTTGACCAAATACAGAATGTTATAGTAAATATATGATGTGTGATACTGTAGATATGGTACATGTCAGAGGAGACTGTAATCTAACACATGTCTGTAGCCTACCCTCAGCCCAACGTGGCGGTGAAAGGACGCGCGGTGCAGTCGTCCACGCTGTATCCCGCCGAGGCCCACAGAGCCATAGACGGAAGAAGAGACACGTTTTACACAGAGGGCAGCTGCAGCCACACAGCTCCACAGAGCGACCCCTGGTGGAGAGTGGACCTCGGACAGCCTTTCATCGTGTCCAATGTGAAAGTCACCAACAGAGGAGACTGCTGTGCCGACAGGCTGGACGGGGCACAGATACGCATCGGAAACTCCCTAAAGAACAATGGCAATGATAATCCCTGGTAATGCTCTAAACAAATGTGATTTTTTTTTTGTCCCCTAATCCTGAGCTTGAACCTTTACTTTGGTTTATCATGTTTTCAAATCAAAATAGTGTAGAGGCATTATGTTAAAGTCAGCAGCAGTTGGGAGGGGAATCACCATCTATCTGTAATACTTAAGAATATCTTGTTTTATTGTTTGTGGCCACACATGCCTCATGCATGAGCATGCCTGGTACACTCAGATCTCAGCTAAGCAGGGCCGGCTACTTAACAAGTTTAAGTTACTGTACATGATAATCGAATTGTGATCTTTGATTTCCTCAGTGCATCTGTTGCAGTGTACAGAGGATATTACATTGAGATTAGCTGGTTGTAGGCCGTTAGTTATTCTCTACATTTGAGATTAAATGATCCATCCATCCATTCTCTACCCCATAATCCATTTGTGGGTTGGGGGGTGGCTGTCAGACATGCCACCCAGTACACATAGCACCAGCCCATCACTGATCCTTCTGCAGGTGGTGAGTCCACAGTAGCCTTGATCTCTCAGTGGGGGCTTCCGGCAAAGTGGGGTTAAGTGCCTTGCCCAAGGACACAACAACAGTTGCCATCAGTGGGAGTTATGAAGTAGGTCTCTTGGTGGGCTCGAACCCACGACCTTCAGGCTCAAAGGCCAATGCTCTACCAACTGAGCCACTGTCACCCCACATGAAATGATAAAAATTACAAATTCAAAGCAGCTCATGGCCTCCTGCTTCCTGTATATGATTCTATAAACCATGTCGTTCTAATGTAAAAACTAGTACATGTTTCCAGGTGCACTAATGTCACTCACATACCTCTGGGAAACACCTTCACCTTCACCTGTAAATCCACTGGAACGACCGGCCGCTACGTGAACCTGCTCCTCTCTGGAGAAATGAGGATTCTGACGCTGTGCGAGGTGGAGGTGTACGCAGACCCAGCAGGTGACTGTGGGAAGAAAATACATTTACTAGAATATAAAACAAAGTCTATTTTTATAGTTAATACCATACTCCTGGGCAGACATGTCAAACTCAGGCCCGTGGGCCAAATCCGGCCCGCGAGAGCATTTTTTGCATTTTCTATGATCATTTATACAGTAACTTGCAGCATTGATGGTAATGGGCTACTATGGAATCATTTTAAAGGCTGATTTCTCATTAAAACAACTACATAATTGAACATGTTCTGAAATGTTAAAATGTTGTGATTCAATCCAAACCTATTAGAAAAGAATGTCCAATTTCATGACAAATAAAAGAATATCACCAAAATAAAAAAATATGGAAAAAAAATAAAAAAATAATAATGATAATAACATTAAACCAGTTTTATACTTTTGGCCACAAACCAGTTCTTATGTTTTTAAACTTGGCCCACGACCAAAATGAGTTTGACACCGGTTGCTCTGAGGTAAACAAATAAATACAACTCATAGCCAATAGTTAATGATTATGTCATTTTTGTCACAGTGGAAGCCTTGTCAAACATCGCCAATTACAAACCAGCATTGCAGTCGAGCACCAAAAAAGTATGGGATGTATTTAGTTTTCTCGATGCAGGCGCACATAAAGTCGTGCAAACGTGCAGGACTCATAGATTCGACAAGCTCTGCTGCAGTCAGACTCACACATGGAGAAACCCCTGGTGGAGAGTGGACCTCGGTGCGCCCTACAGGGTCAGCGCCGTCGTCCTCCACAATCGCCACGACTGCTGCTCTAGCTACATCATCGGCGCACAAATCAGAATCGGAAACAGTCGTACTATTGGACAAAACCCAGTGTATGTCTACGATTCTCTCTAAATGTCCTGTTCTAGTTTATTATCTACAGTAACTCTTTTTGTGTCTGTTTCTTTCAGCTGTTCCACGATCACCAATGCAGACCTGAAACAGACCTTCTACTGTTCAGAGATGGAAGGACAATATGTGTCTGTGAACATAAAAGAAATAACGACACTAACTTTTTGTAGAGTGGAGGTCTATGGTTCTCGAGTGGGTACGTCTTTCTAACACTGATCAACCACTTTGAGTCACAGCTATGTATTGGGATGAAATGAAAAGTATGGCAAAATGAACCGAAAGACCAAACACGGAAAGTATGCATACTCTGCTCCGACGACGCAAGAAGTGGCCATGACTTTTGATGGAAGGCAAAAACTTCTAAACAACAACTTTTTTAAAAACTCTTTCAAAATAGTCATGCTTTCAAAAATACAGGGTACACAAAAGAGGATTTTGCTGATCTTTTTCTAGTACTGACTGTCAGAATGGGATCAACATTGTGGCAGTGGGAATTACAACCCGTAATGAAAGAAGATGTAATAAATATACACATGAATTTGACCCAGAAATGCTCAAAACTAAATTAGAGACAGTACATTTGTTCAAAAAGGCAGTTATAGGCTGTTGTATAAAAGTAGGTATGTTTTTGACGAGGAAACCTTAAAGTAACAAAAAGTAGATTTTGCTTTGTATGTGTTCTTTAACATTGCTTAAAGGACACATACAAAGACAAATGCATTTAACAGACTCAAGTATTTTCTTATTGTAGAAACAGAGCCAGCTCCACTTCCCCCTCCGGTCCCCAGTTATAATTTCTCCAGTGAAAGTGCGCAGATCGGGGGCCGGCGGTGCATCTGGTGGGAGGCCGCTTGTGCTGGTCGGACGCATTGTTCTACTGCAGACGGCACCACTGGGACCTCCTCAGTGTCCAGAGTCATGACGAACAGACCCAGGTGGAGCAGCTCATCGCAAAGAGTGTCTATCCCCTCTCTGAGAACGTGTGGCTGGGCCTGCGCAGGTGAGATTCACTTCAGTAGGTGACTTTGTGGGAACTTTGACCTCTGCATTTTGAGCCATCCTTCAATAGGGCATCCTGTCAAAAAACATATATGTGGGCCTGTCTTCAAAGAGCTACGAGAGATGTGTCTGAATGAGTACTTTATCATTATTATCACTAAATCGAACCCTTTTTAGATTTTAAATGTTTTTCTCCTAGACGCCTCTATTGACATAGATCTGTCTATCCTCCAACGTAGGTGCCTAGGACTGTGTTTGTGGCATTCTGTATTCCATAATCAACAAACAAAGTCAACTTGGGGTTACCAGGTTTCACCAGAAAAACTTTGCAACTTTTAATATGCATATTAAAACAAATTTAAAAGTAGAAGTTTAAACTACTGAGTGCAGTACACAAACAATCTCCTTTATCTCTATCTTTGTCAGAGAATTGATGGGGATGCGGTGGTTCTGGATGTCGGGGGAAGCGTTGACATTTAATCAATGGAGACTGTTCCCTCCTCTGTTCCCAAACCCGTGCGGTGGTGTGGGCCGTACGGACGGTCTCTGGAGCCCGCTGTCCTGTGCAGAACACAACAACTTCCTTTGCCAATCAGGTGAGCAAGAGAAATGCAAGACCACCGCAGACTCTGGGTCAGACTGTAGACTGTGCATCAGGAGTTGACCGTGAAGGTGTTTTATTATCTGGAGAGGGTAATACCAGCTTAAACCCATATTAAATATATTTGTTATATGTATCCAAAAATGATAGGACAACAATCCAAATCCCATTTGACCTTTCATGTATATAAGTGTATCATTACATTTAATCATTACAAAGATGATTCCATGATATTATTTGTCTTTGCTGCATTCAAGTAGATTATTCAGAACGAGCTCCTCTTTTGGGATGCCAGGTTTTTTTGGGTTTTTTTTTTCATAACACAATTTTCACACAAAAATAGCACCACACATTTGTTTAAATAAACCATTTACAAAACTAAGCAGCCACACATAATACATAGAGTTTGCTACATGTGCCTGAGCCTGGAAGCTAAATGTGTGTCAGGCAAAAGATTCTGGCAACAAAAGTGTGATAGAAATTGTGATGGATACAGTATATTAGACCACTATACTGTAAGAGTGCATGTTACACACGGCCCCTTTAAACCTATAATATTTCCTAAATTGGTGATTCTAAATTCTAAACAGTGTATCCTCCAGAATGTAAATAATGCACATGAAGATACATTTCAATCAACATTTTCATTTCAGACTCAAATTAAATTGGTCCATATCTTAAAAGAATAGGGATTTAAAAGAGAAAGTACAATACAGTCAGTCAAAGCAGATCTATAGGCGATGGAAGAGTATTTCAACATTTTTTAGTCTATGATTTCAACCCAGTGATTTCTTGGAGCAGATTGAGCTCACAATAATACAATAACACTGTTTGTTTATATTTTCTCTCTCAGCTCCTGCTCAGAGCTCTACAAAAGTGTATTACTACAGCAGCAAGATGCCAAGAGTCTAACGAGGATCCAATCACCATCACGTCTTTTGTATCACTGTATGTGTTAGTTTTAGCCGCATATCTACAATATTATAGACCAAGTGGACTCTTATGAAACTATGAAAGTAGTTGGACCGCATAGACTTTCTTGAACGTTAAAGGAGTGTCACAAACGGAAAATGATGTTGACTAAAGAAGGAGCAATACAAACAGAGTCAGAATCCCTGACACACCTGTAAACGAGATTAACTATAGCAAGGAAATGATCTGGTAATTCCTGTTTTCAATCGTGTTTGTCGCCGATGTTACGTAAACATTAAAATCTTTTGTGCTGGTGCCATGTGGAATGAGCGGGGACTGGCCTCCTGCTGGTGCCCACAGTCGGGACTAGTCACTGGGAGGCAGCGGTCCAGACTAGAGAGCTATACCCTGGCTATATTCAAGTCCAGGCTGAAAACGATTTTATTTCAGCTGTGTCTATGTTATTGATAGATACATATACTCATTATTTTTTCTTTTTTGTGTGTTTTTACAGTGTGTTTTTTAGATTGGTTTTAAATAATATTGGTTTTGTGTTGCTTTCTGTATGAACTGTGCTATATATAAAAAAAAAAAGATTGATTGATTGTTGGTTGTCAATGCTTTCCCACAGATCTAATAATCATTTTCTATTCAAAAAACAAAATAAGTGACATTTAACAGCATGTATGGACTCATCTATCAACGTTTATGGACATTGACCCCCTACTCCTTATGGACCATATGTTTTTTAAATCTTGTATTTCCTATGTGTTTAGACATTTTTGATTCTCTGATACTGTAGGTGCGGACAAATCAACAATTTTTTCAGCCGTGATAAAATATTGTACTTTTTAAAGGCTATACAAAAAAAAAACTAAAACAATACACAAGTAAAAACTAGAAATGTGAGACTAAAAACACTACAATAAATACCAACAATTATTATATAGATAAATAGAATATGTAAAATGCAATAAGAAATAAGAAATACTTATCAAAAGCGAATCTAAAATGGTGTGTCTTGAGCCTGCTTTTAAAAACATTAATATTCTTTGTGCCCCTTAGTTTATAGTTTTTGTTTTGAACCAAACCACCCAATCAGGAAGCACAGGAAGCAGAAATCAATGCATCTCAATCAATCAATGCAACTATTTTAGACATACATAAGATCATACACAGAGACCAAGATGGTGCCGCAGCATGTGTACTTGTCTTGTGCACATACTGGGGACTTTAGCGGATGCATTCCAGTGTGGTTTTACTGCAAGCAAATAAATGAATCTGAATCTGATCTGATAATAGATGGATAATAGATGGATATTACATGTTGGTATTTAGGTGTGGCACATTGTTGAAGAGCGGTTATGGTAAATGGTGAACTATCAAACAGTCTTCAGCAGGTCTGACTACCTCCAGAGAGTCACACCCTTCGAGAGGATTAAATTGTGTTTGGAGTTTCGTTTATCGTGACTGGTGTTCGTACAACCGCTTCATTTGTGCATCACCCTAACAACGCGAACCCTGAATTCACAAGATCCACAAAAATGAGTCATGCTAAACGTCCCGCGGAGGATGGAGGATAGAAAAAACAACCCTATTCTAGGGTATTTTCACAGATCACACAACGCAGATAGGTGGAAAATATTTTTGATGGCAACTGTGTTTTTGGGGTTAAAAAGGCAAAAATCTTCCAGAGTGGACACTTTGAAAAGGCTCCACTCTCTCATCACGCTCCAAACTAAAGCCTGTGTGCCACATGGGGCCCTCTGTGTTCATCTATGTGGCCTTGTCCTGGGCTAACTTAAAGTCGTCTTTGAGATCCTAAATACACAGTGTCATCTAGCCAACTTCAGCTCAGGCAATAGACACAGACACTGTACCATGCTGTCAAACTCCGGGTTACTTCTTTCATATAGATTTTGTTTTTGATTCCATATATGGCGTCAGTGTAGCTGTGGTGAGATAGTTAGCGCTAGTACTTCAAAGCTCAGAACAACTAAAATACAGTTGAAGCAGTTTTAAAATCAGGGTTGTCTGCCCCTGCACAAATCCGGTGAACTAAAGTTATGCTGTTACTATAGTTGATCTAAACAATTGGAAATATAAGATTGCGTTTTCTCTTCACATCCAGATTACACCGCAGAAAAACCAAACCTGTGCTTCAACTAGACCTCAAAGTTGTGAACATAGTGTATTGTTTCAACATAGAGAGGGGGAAAGGCCAGACAAACATCTCTCCACATCCAGGACTTTTATGATGGACCGGTGAAGCAAAGAAGTGAAGAAGATGACATAGTCTGGGATCGCGTCTTACATTCAGACAGAAGACATGTTTTATTGTCAATGGTAGAGACAGCACGAACAAAGCACACAATCACAGATACAATAGAATGCAAGTGTATTATACAGAGCAGAGGCATGGAGACCTCCAATCAGCAGCTTCCACGGTGTGCTTGTAGCTTGGCCTTCAGATAGACACAACAAGGGAAAAGTACTGGCTTCTGCACATTGATAGAATGATGAGTTTAACTTTAACAAAAGTTGCTTCAAAGTGTTATGAAATCTCACATTCCCCCCTCTGGTCATACATTCACGTGTGACCATCAGGATCGATAAACAGCAACATAACATCATAACTCAATACTTCAAAAACTCAAACTCGGTACTTCAAAAACTCAGAACTCGGAATACTTCAAAAACTCAGAAAACTCATAAAACATGTTCAGATCTTTCATAAAACTTGTCAACAATCTTCAGTAAAATACCAAACTTCATCAGTCGATGGTGGTTCCAGATATTGCTTTGAAAACAGTCTCTCCCACTTCTCCGTGTTGATTCTTCAGGCTGCATTTGTTGTGTCGAGCCATGAATTCTTCTGTGACGTGTCTTTCAATCACACGTTTCAGCTTCAGTGTCCAGATTCAGCAATTCAATTCAGTCCAAATTATGTCCAAATTCAGAAATCCAGATTGTTCCAAATTATGTCCAAATTGTGTAATCCAATTGTTCCAAATGATGTCCAAGAGGATGATGGTATTGTCCATGTCTCAGCAGCTCACAGCCTGACTGGAATCAGGGGCTGTGCAGATTGTCCAAGTGTGCTGGTCCAGATGGTTTCTCTTGAGGTTTCTCAGTTTTGGCTTGAAAAAAAAAAACACTTTTTGTGTAAAAAAAAGTAGTCTTCTGTTCTCTAGATGTTACAGACAAGGCCCGCATCCTTCCACCACCTGAAGAAGATGACATAGTCTGGGATCGCGTCTTACATTCAGACAGAAGACATGTTTTATTGTCAATGGTAGAGACAGCACGAACAAAGCACACAATCACAGATACAATAGAATGCAAGTGTATTATACAGAGCAGAGGCATGGAGACCTCCAATCAGCAGCTTCCACGGTGTGCTTGTAGCTTGGCCTTCAGATAGACACAACAAGGGAAAAGTACTGGCTTCTGCACATTGATAGAATGATGAGTTTAACTTTAACAAAAGTTGCTTCAAAGTGTTATGAAATCTCACAGAAGCAGTAGTGGAGCAGCAGAGAAGCAAAGACAGCTGTAGGCGAGAATTTGAAGGATATCTTTGCAGTGGAACAACTTTATTGATTCAGTTTAGACAACAGAGTATGGCATGACAGTTTCTGCACGTGTATAGAGCATTGATGAATGAGGCAATTTCACACATGTTTGCATTTCAGTCTCTCTTTTTCTGTTCAAAGCCTTTCTCTGGTAACCTCACTCTTTTGTTGTTGATTCAAACTTGGATCTGTAATCAATACACCTTTCAGATAATAAAGCAGAGGTTCTCTACCTTTTTTGCTCTGAGTTTAAAGTAATAATTGCATCATGTTTATGTGACATGTATAAAAATTCATGTATAAAAATTCCAGACCGATATCAGCCTGATCACATTCTTGGACCAAATCATAGCTCGGTGGTATTCGCTTGATATTGTTCTATAATTTATTTCATGTTAATAAACATAGCTTGTTTTTTATGTATAGACATATATTGTACAAGTTAGGGTGCAATTTGCTGACAGAGGTTCAGGGGGAACTCCCCTTCATTTCTTAGAAATGTAAGAAATGAAGGGGACTAAGAGTACATGTGTCAGAAGTACATGTGTCGAGAAGTATGTAACCCAGGGTTAAAATCCAGTCCAGGTTTTCCCCTACACTCCTGGTTCATTCCTGGTTTTCTCTGCAGGCTGCATGACATGCTCCTGTCCACACACCTGAAGTGAGTGAGCGCTAATTAGACAGAGGTAAAAGCTGCCCTGGCTTCTCTCCCACCACAGTGAACAGAGAGGAGCCAGGGCAGCTTTTACCTCAGCAGCTGCAGGTAGTGATGGCAATATGAAGCCCCATGAAGCTTTGAGGGATAGCAGCCTATTACTCGGCCCATGAGTCGAAGGCTCGAGGTGAATCATGCTCCACTACGCCATCATGTGGACAAAGAAATACATAACACTCAAGTGCTTACAATGAATGGTGAGATCTATTGTTAAAATGTATATTTACAATCTATGGTCTAACGTGTTGTGTTTGAAATGATGCTTCATGAACTATGAACTATTTCAGTCTTTCAGTCAATTGTGTTGATACAACAAACACATCCAAAGTAATACAGTTCTACAGAAAGTGATGAAGAGGAAAAACTACCAAGTGGTGGATTAATTAAACACAACAAACTATTTATTCCCAATAAATAAATACATTTACTTTGCAACACAAAATTTAGTATGGGTAGACCGGGATTCGAACGCTATATCTTCTGCTTCGGAGTCCGTCATAGACCGACTGCGCCACACAGCTGTTGTGAAATGTATCATCCAGCGTATTATTACTAATGACTTGAAGCCTTGATATATGAGGTTTTACTGATGTGAAACGTTTTTAATTGTATTTCATATGAAGTAGTTTCTCTATACTTAGTACAGGACTGCTCCACATCACTCACACACACACGTACGCACACAGAGGCAGACGGGGACAGCCAATACA